TGGTAAATGTTTAACAACCAGTTCTCACAGCAGGAAATGAAGGGACAGATGTGACGTGTAGCAATTGCCAACTTCTGTGGTGTAAATACTCTTACTGGGGCTGATTTCAAGCTACCTATGTGACTTCACTGAGCTCAGAGTTGAGAAGAGATGCATGTAATAGGCTCTCACAATCAGCTTACCATTAGTTTACATCTTATCAATAGGCTATTGTCATCAACACGACCTTGGAGTTGGACAGAGTTGGAATCTAGCCCCAACTCTAGCACTGGGTGACTTTGGACAACTTATTTAATTTCTTTAAGCTTCCATTTCTTTATCCATAAACTGGAGATAATAGTAGCTACTTTACAGTTCTTGAGTGTTGGAAATGAAGCAATGCCTTCACCGTAGCAACTAGCACATGGTAGGTACTTAAGAAATATTAGGTTCTAGGGGCTCCTGGGTGGCTCAGTCGGTTAAGTGTCCAACTTCAGCTCAGCTCATGATCTCACAGTCCATGAGTTCAAGCCCCGTGTCAGGCTCTGTGCTGACAGCTCAGAGCCTGGAGTCTGCTTCAGATTCTGTGTCTCCCTCTCTCTATGCCCTTCCCCTGCTCATGCTCTGTCTCAAAAATAAATTAAAAAACATTAAAAAAAATTTTTTTAATAAAAAAGAAATATTAGGTTCTGGGGTGCCTGGGTGGCATGGTAGTTTGTGTCCAAACTCGGCTCAGGTCATGAACTCATTGTTTGCAGGTTCGAGCCCTGCATCAGGCTCTGTGCTGACAGCTGGGAGCCTGGAGCCTGCTTTGGATTCTGAGTCTCCCCCTCTCTCTGCCCCTCCTCTGCTCATGCTCTGTCTCTCTCTCTTTCAAAAATGAATAAACGTTAAAAAATGTTTAAAAAAAAGAAATACTACCTTCTATCATCATCATCATCATCTTTATTACTATCCTACCCTTCAAAGTGGTCACCATTCGGTGCTTCAGTAGATGATCAGTATCCCATCTTTCCCATCTGTGCAGACTGCCAGTTGTCACCAGCAACCCTACCCTACCTGGCTTATCGTACAAATATCTGCCTAGGCATTAGCTTACCAAAATCCTGTTACATTTTTGTTTTCAGCTTCAAACTAGTGAGAGATACGTCTCGAATATTTGCCATTGAGAACAAAGAGGACTAATTTTCTTCTGTAACAGGAAAAGAGAAATGGAGCCTGCATTTGTTGAATACATATTTTGACCCACATGGCATTGTGCTGGGGGGTTTGTCTGTTACCTCTTCCTTTTTTTTTCTTTTTTCTTTCTTTCTTTTTTTTTTTTTCTTTTTTTTGAGAGAGAGAGAGAGAGAGAGAGAGAATGAATCTTAAGCAGGCTCCATGCCCAGCATGGAGCCCTATGCAAGGTTCTGTCTCACGACCCTGAGATCATGACCTGAGCCAAAATCAAGAATTGGACACTTAACTGACTGAGCCACCCACATGTCCCTGTCTGTTACCTCTTTTAATCCTCACAATAACCGGGAGATATTAAATCATAGTCTCGATTCAATGGATGAGAAAACTAAGGCTCAAAGAGATTAAGGAACTTGCCTGAGGTCACATAGCTAGTGATACAAAGCCAGAGGTTTTTGTTGTTGTTGTTGTTTTTACACTGTACCATGGTATTAACCTTGTCAAGAATACTCAAGTGGTCAGATGACAGACTAAGGCACTAGCTGCCACAACTAGTGAATGTATTGGACAACTGAGATTAAATGTAGCCTGCCTGTAACAGGAACTCGATTACAGTGCCTTATAAAAGGCTTCTTTTACTCCTGTATCAAGTCGAGAAGGAGGCAGACCAGGCTTCACACATTTTCTTGAGAAAGTTCTCAAGGCCTCAGCTTCCTTTGGCTTCCTGCTCATCAGTCTTCAGCATGTGGTTTTCTTCTTTAAGGGCATAAGAGAGCCCCTGCCCCAACACTACCTCCAGGTATCACATCTATGTTCCAGACAGGCAGAAGTAAAAAGACACTTATTTCCTAAGTGTGCTTCTTTTTTATAAGGAGAATAATCACTCTCTCAGAACCACCATCATGTGGCCTTTTGCTTAAATCTCATTTTGTATATTCCATTCTGGAGTCTTTGGATCATTTGCAACTAGGAGTGGCCTGAACTAGGTCACAAGACCATCCCTGGTTGCAAAGAATCCAGAGAATTATGTCTTTTTAACTGGACACAGTAATGCTCTAACACAACTGAGTCTCTTCAACGAAGGACAAAGAAGAGACTGAACATGAAAAAAGCAAGCAGAGGTCATGACCTCCAGTGTTCCTCAGAGCAGACCGCGTTTTTCAGGGCTGCAAGGAGACAGCAAAAGTAGCATAGAATCTTCAAATGGAAAGAACTTTGAGATCATTGATCTAGCCCAATTTCCCGCCTAGTGAAGGAGCCACTTCGACAATTTCTCTAACAAGGGGTCATCCAGCTTCTGTGAAAACAAACAACGTTAAGTGGTGTCCAGATGCTTGACTATTTACATGCAAGAAAACTGGGCTCAGGGCCCTAGTAACAAATTACCTAAAGAATTGCGGTCAACTGGCAGAAAAGAAAAATATAAAAAATAATGTACAGTCTAACTAGAAAACAAAGGGGATTATTAAGATCTAGGTGAAATAGTGCAGAGTTCAGTAAGTCCCAATCATTCAGTAAAAAGCTTTCCATCTTCCTAGATCAGGTGATTAAAAGTTGAAAAAAATTAAGTAAGGATGAAATCTAAAAGTTGCCTAGGGGACATGTGATGAAAGGCATAGACTTGCCCCTCACCCCCCACTGACACAGCGGGCAAGTCAACTGTGAGAGAAACCTCAGCAAGTTGTTAACCCGTGGCTTTGGGCGAATTATCCTGGTGTATAACACTCAGGTCCTGGCTTGGTCATCTAACTCATTATTATCTAACATAACGGTTCTCAAAGTGTGGTTCAGAGACTCCTGAGAGTGACCCTTTCAAGCAGCTCCAGTACTTCAACTTATTTTCGTAATAATACTAACAAATTATTGGCCTTTTTCTCTCTCATTCTCTCACTAGTATCCAGTGGAATTTTCCAGGAAAAGATTTGCAACATTGTAAAGTTATGCCACTTTAATTTTCTTTTCATTTCTTTTGCTTTGGAAAAAAACAGGGTCTTTTCCCATAAAAATGTATTGTTTGTGTTAAAATGTAACGTGTTTAATATTGGTTATTTATTTATTTATTTATTTTTATTTATTTATTTTTTTTTTTACTGTTTATTATTGAGAGACAGAGAGACACAGAGCATGAGCAGGGGAGGGATAGAGAGAGGGGGAGACACAGAATCTGAAGTAGGCTCCAGGCTCTGAGCTGTCAGCACAGAGCCCGACGCGGGGCTCAAACTCACAAACTGCGATATCATGACTGAGCCGAAGTCGGTCGCTTAACCAACTGAGCCACCCAGGCGGCCCTAATATTGGTTTTTTAAATGAATCAATAAAAATATTGTTTAAATTTCTTAGGTTTAACTTCTGTTATAGTAAATATTAAGTTATAACCACATAAGCAAAAGCTTTCTGTGGTTCTCAATAATTTTTAGAAGTATAAAAGGATCCTGACACCAAAAAGTTTGACAACCACTGATCTAATTCATAACCCAATTGCAGGGTGGGGGTTAAGAACCGGTAACCCCAACCCAACTGAGTTGGTAAATCTGTTCATTGGACAAATGACTCTATAACACTAAGAAGACAGTGAAATAAGAACAAGGATGGTAAGGTAACCAAATCCATTATTCATTCTTTTGTGTTAAGTTTGGGAATAAGCTTTACAAATATCAAGAAAATCTTTGTGTGTTTTAATTTGTTTGCAAATGTTGAAGACAATCTGGCATATTATAGAAATTGGCATATTAACCCTATTATTTATTGAAATTTTCATTGTTTCTCCTTATTTTAGAATGTGTCACTGAATTTAATTACATTTATAAAGAGTATTTAAAGACTTAAGATATACTACACTTAGAAATCTGTATTGTCTGGGATACCTGGGTGGCTCAGTCAGTTAAGCATCTGATTTCAGCTCAGGTCATGATCTCCCAGTTAGTGAGTTCGAGCCCTGCATCAGGTTCTGTGCTGACAGTTTGGAGCCTGCTTCAGATTTTGTGTCTCCTCTCTCTACCCCTCCTCCACTCATGCTCCGTCTCTCTCTGTCTCTCAAAAATGAGTAAGTGTTAAAAAAAAATGTTTAAAAAAAAATCTGTATTGTCTTAGTGCATTCAGGCTGCTGACACAAAAATATCATATATTGGATAGCTTATAAACGCAGAAACGTATTTTTTTAATGTTTATTTATTTATTTATTTATTTTGAGAGACAAAGAGAGAGAGTGGGGGAGGGGCAGAGAGAGAGAGGAAGAGAGAGAACCCCAAGCACAGAGACCAACTTGGGACTCCGTCCCACAAACCACGAGATCATGACCTGAGCTGAAATCAAGAGTCAGACGCTGAACTGACTGAGCCACCCAGACACCCCCAGAAATGTATTTCTCACAGTTCTGGAGACTGGAATGTCCAAGATCAAGTCACCAACAAATTCACTGTCTGGTGACAGCCCACTTCCTGGCTCATAGATAGCTGTCTTTTTGCTGTGTCCTCACATGGCGGAAAGGGTGACGGCTCTATATACCTGAATATTTTAGTAGCAAGCAATTTACCTTTCTCAGTGCTGAGCTTTGAAGTCAACCAATAGGTTAATGGTGACCAGCTTTACACACATTCATGAACCTTTTTCCATGAGAAAAATGCGATGTATAAGGCGTCTGTCTGTACTTGGTAATCTGTCCTGGGCTTACAGAGGTTATCCTAAGAGAGTTGTCGTTGTAAGCACTGCTAAGACAGAGAAATGTCTTCTTACTAAAGGAGATGCTCTGCCCCCAACGGTATTCCCTACCAAAGCAGTACATGTGCAAGTGAGAACGCTTTGTGTTAAGTGTATAAAACCCTCAACCTGTCCATGGTTCATGTTACCTGTTGTTCAAGTTATGGAGCTTGATTCCTTCTCTGTTCCCACATCCAGTCAGGAAACAAACTCTGAGTCTTCCTTTCCTGTGGCCTGTGTGATGGCAGCCATGAGAATAGGGTGGGGGAGCAGGTCGGTATGAAACCACCTCCCCCATTCTCACTGCTACCATTAAACGGTCCAGCCTTTATTCTCTCCTATGGAACACCTTCCAAATATGGAAATATTTATAAATTAGAAACCTAAGAGTGAGAGGCATCTCTCTCTTGATTAGTGCAGTATTTAGTTTAAATAAAAGGCTAGTTTCGCCTTTCTAAGGTAGTGTCTTTTGCCATCGCAAATGGCTGAAGATCTGATGAAGTACCTGGATGTGGAAATACTACCTTATGGGGCACCTGGGTGGCTCAGTCGGTGGAGTGTCCGACTTCGGCTCAGGTCATGATCACTCAGTTCGTGAGTTTGAACCCCGCGTCAGGCTCTGTGCTGACAGTTTCTGGCCTGGAACCTGCTTTGGATTCTGTGTGTCTTCCTCTCTCTCTGCCCCTCCCCTGCTTGCACTCTCTTTCTCAAAAATAAATAAACATAAAAGAAAAGAAAAGAAAAGAAAAGAAAAGAAAAGAAAAGAAAAGAAAAGAAAAGAAAAGAAATACTAACTTAAGAATTGTGCAGTTCTTTTTGCAGTGCCCGGTCGCTAGTCTCCTGCTGGAGGGCTAGTCCTTCCAGTGCCCATCAGATGCCAGTTCTAAAGCCATCAGAGTAGCCCCTGGGGCCACCCACGTAGTTTTTCTTAGAATGACCAGCTCAGCCTCTAAGGCGGGTGTCAGATCCTCCCCATGGGGCCTTCACAGCCAATCAGCTGTTCCTTCTGGCTCCTTTTCAGTCCCCATCCATACTCTATTTAAAGGGCTGAAAGTTAAAACTGACCCAAAGAAATAGCTGGTAGGTGACAACAGCTAAGCCCTAAGGCTTTAAATAGCATAAGAAAGACACCACCTAAGGAGAAGCTTCCCAGGAGTGTTCCTATGTGGTAAAAGGGATCTTTCAGGAAAGTTACTCTGTATCACTTCTGATTGCCACTGGAGTCAAGGCCTGGTGGCAGCCAAGTTAAGGAAACAGTGATTTGCCAAGAGACAGATTTATGTCATTCTAACATATGGGAAAATGTCATTGGTTGTGCAAGAGAAAAATACCTTGTTTTACAAAACAAATGAGAGGAATATATCTATTGATCAATTACTATTTCATCTTACACTAGGAATGATTGAAGTTCAGACACATAATTCTTCACAAGAGATTTTAGTTCCTAAAGAGTCCCCCACAGGCAAAGCCAGGCAGATCCCTAAGAGGGTGAAATACGATGGAAATTGGGGTTAACTGGCAAGTTCACCCCCCATCTAAAAACATTCATATTTTAAAATAGTTAAAAATGCTGAACTGACCTTACAAAACCAAAACATAGCTGCAGGTGAATCTGGCACACATAGGCTGCCTTGCCTTGCTGGCTCTTAGGTTAAGCACAGAGATTATAAAAATCAAAGTTTTGGAAATGCTGCTGCTGTTTCGTTGTTTGTTTGTTTTTAAACAATGTGGTTTAATTTGAGACAGCATGAATTGACTGTGCTCTGAAAGATGAAGTGATACACTTTGGTTAGTCCTCCCACCTACACTTTTCCCTGTTCTATTGTTCATTGCTTATATTTTTACTTGGCCAGGTTATAAACCATCACATTGTGTGCTGTAACTGCAATACTCCTCATTATTTCATCTTCGTTCTTTTTAAACATGGGTCCAGTGTCCATTTCTGATTCTTTTACGAGTCATAAATTCTTGATCTTCATTCATTTCTTTGGCAGAATTTCAATGTCAAATGTATTGTGTTTTGTTTTGTTTTGTTTTCCCAAGAAAGTCTCTCAAATTCTGTATCTTTCATACCAGATTCTAAACACTACTTTCTGTGTATTTTTCCATGTTTGAGACAGCCTTCTTGCTGACTTTATAACCAAACAGTTTTTGAGTGGGTCCCACTTTCTTGTCCTCAGAAGTTTGTAAACATTATTCCATCATGTTCTGGCTTTGAATATTGCTGAGAAGTCTAAGGCAATCCTCATTTTCCTCCTTATAGGTGACTTACTTTTTCTTTCTGAATAGCTAAAGATTTCTTTTCTTATCCTTTAATTTCAGTAACTTAACCAAAGGGTGTCTGCATGTTTATTGTGTTGAATCAATTTTTTTCTAGCATACAGAGTGACCTTCTAGCTTAAGATTTCATTTGTTAATTCCAGGGAAAGTTTCTTTTATCACATATCTAACTACCTTTCCTGTTCCATTTTGTTGTCTCTGTTGGCTGGTCTCTGTCCTCCATACTGACTGCCTTCTACATATTTTAATTTCTTTGTCCCTTTTCTCTGCATTCACTGATTATGTCATGCATTTCTTCCATTCCACTAATTTTATTTTCTTTTTTTTTTTAATTTTTTTTTTCAACGTTTATTTATTTTTGGGACAGAGAGAGACAGAGCATGAACGGGGGAGGGGCAGAGAGAGAGGGAGACACAGAATCGGAAAGAGGCTCCAGGCTCTGAGCCATCAGCCCAGAGCCTGACGCGGGGCTCGAACTCACGGAACCGCGAGATCGTGACCTGGCTGAAGTCGGACGCTTAACCGACTGTGCCACCCAGGCGCCCCCTAATTTTATTTTCAACCACTGTCTCTCTTGTTCCTTGCTCTTCCTAAATAATTTTTTAGATCTATCATGGTGCTCTTTGGAGTTGCAACTAGTTTTCTTAGCTCTGAAATGTCCCTGTTGAGTTCATTCTGCTATTTTATTATCTTATTTTAAGGCCTTAGTTTTATAGAATAATAGGGTCATAAAGCAATTCTGTACCTTAAAGCTCTCTCGGGGAATCTTATTTGAAAAAGCTGTACTTTTATTATGTTAAAAGCCATTCTCCCCCTTAAAGCATGTCTTTTTGTACCATGTTCTTCCTTTTTTTTCTCATTTTTCTTTTCCTTCTCTTTCATCTTCTTGTTCTAAGGTGTTTACTTATCGCCATGCCATTTTTGGTTTTTCATTTTCATTAGCTAGCTCTGTTGTGACTTTTATTTGGTCTGATATAATGCTTCCACTTTATTTAGGACCAGTCTGTCTGCCCATAGGAAGCTAATTCATTGTATTGGAATTGCTTTCAATACACTTATCTTTAGCCGAGGGCATGTTGGGAGGCCTGTGAGTGAGGTCAAACCCGTACTAGGTAGGGGGGAGCCTCTAATTTCTCCTTTGGAGGCCAGTTAAACATCTTGCACCAGTGCCCACCCCACCCAGCTGTGGAGATAAGCCTCTCATTCATCCTACCCACCCTCGGGGGCCTGAAGGATCAGAAGCTATGGAGGCCCTTCTTGCCCCCCTCCACCTCACCCACCCCACCCACCTCAAGGCCCCATCAAGAGAAGTTGGGTCAACTACACTTAAGACATTTCCCTTTACTTATCCAGGGCTACCTACTTACTCCCTCAGGCTGCTTCCGTCCACAGTGGATGACATTAATAAAAACGCTCAGAGTTCTCAGTACTGCTCCTGGTGAGTGGGTATGAAGAAAGGAGCCATAGCACAACTCGTCACTTGCCTTAGCCGTCACTCTGAAGTTTACACTGAAGTTCATACAAAGGAGTTCATACAAAGGTGTTCTCCTTTGTTCGTTCATGAATTGTTGCCTTTTTTCACCACTTCTGTTCATTTCATTAGATTTGAAGGAAGATGATTTAATCCGATGTTATTTTGCTATTTGTATCAGAGGTCACTTTGCCCTTTCAGTTTTCAAATCTTATAAACTTATAATAATAGGCATATAGAAAATATCTAGAGAAATATTGCTGCTACATCATTTGTTATAGAGTAAAAACTTGTTGATCAGACTGTTTATTGCTCTTGGGTAGTTAAACATTCCTCAAAACTGCTACTAAATAACAGTTAAGAAGCGTAGTCTTCTGGGGTCCCTGGGTAGCTCAGTAGGTTAGGCGTCTGACTTTGGCTCAGGTCATGATCTCACAGCCTGTGAGTTCGAGTCCCGTGTCAGGCTCTGTGCTGACAGCTCAGAGCCTGGAGCCTGGTTCGGATTCTGTGTCTCCCCCTCTCTCTCTGGTCCTCTCCCTGCTCATGCTTTGTCTCTCTCTCACTCAAAAATAAATAAACATTAAAACAAATTAAAATAAAATAAAATAAAGCACAATCTTCATCCCCAAAACTCTGGAGTCCCACATACATATGTTCAAAATCTCAACTCTACCTCTCACTAGCTGTAGGATATTGAGCAAGTTCCTTAACACCTTTAATTCTCAGTTTCTTCACCTGTAAAAATGATGATAACAATACCTACCTCATGAATTGTGAAGATTAAACAAATAATGCACAGTGAGAGTTTACCACAGTGCCTGGCACTGAACCCATCTACATTCCAAGTTCTGTGCGGGGCTTCCCTTTCCCATGATGCAGACCATGCAATACGAATTTTTAGAATTGAAAGGAACTTTAAAGGCTATCTTATCCAAACCTCTAATATTATAAAATATGAATTAAGATCATGAGAAATTACATCAGAAGTAATACTATACCTATTTCCCAATACCCTAATACTGGGATTAGACCCGTAGTCAATAGATATGACTGTTCTGATCATGGGGAAGGTGTATTTCTCATTGTAAGTTTTTAACTAGGTATCCAGTTGATTAAAAATACAACAAAATCATTTCAGCAGGACCCATGACAACCTAGGTCCTCTGAATCTAGGTGCAGTGCATTTTCCATTGATCGATAGTTTCTCATCCATTATTAAAGGAACTATCTTTGATCCCATAAAGACTTATAAAAATATTTATACATAAAGAAATGTGGTTATTTTTTCAAACTTGTTTGGGTTAAAGAGACATATCATTAAAGATCTGTACTATTCATAAGATACAGGCTTCTCACAGAGACACGCTAATCTCATCAAAGGCTATAGCAAAAAAGCTCTAACCCAAATTCATAATTCATCATAATATAACTATTTAAAGATCAAAGTATTGAAAATGCAGTGGTATGAGTAGCAAAAAAATTATGAATATATTATGAAAAAAATTAAGATGAAAAAATATTCCATTTACTGAACCACAGTGAATTGGACAATCACAATAACGTTGCTTCCAACCCAGACGTTCTAAGCCTAGAAGAAGTCAGAGCAGGAGCAGCCTTGGAGAATATGTTTCACTGGATGACGCTTATGTGCCACTCCTACTTTTCTGCTCCACACTCACAACCTGCCTCTGTACAACGTAATTCCCAGGCCCTGCCCTCCTTAGCTTATCCCCTGCAAAACAGCCCCTACTCAGTCAGACTGTATAGTTGCTGGCATACTTATTC